CATATCATCCCACGCATGTCTTCCAACCTCGTCGCATTCGCCACTTATGGGCCTATCATCAAACTATTTTGTTCCATTTATTCACCTCTTGAACTGAAAATAAATTAAACTATCTAATTCCAACCAGCCAAATATGGTTTTGTGGTCCAAGATAAGATATTGCGAATCATTCTTGGATAATGTAGATTTATTTGGAAATGATAAATATAAATAATCTGAATTTTGAGTGAATTATTGACCCCTCAAGAAATATTTTAAGACATTTAAATCTATAGATAACTTGATCTGCTAATAAGATCCAATCTTGCCTTCCTACTGGTTGCTGTTACGCGCTATTTCTTCATATGAATGGGAAGGTAATGAGTAATTAATTAACTTGAATATTCAAAAATGCAACTTTTTAAACATTCCATTCATGAAAATGAAAGGAAGATATTATGAAGTTGATATAAATATCCATTTTGCTTACTCACTTTTATTTTATCGCTTTAGAAGTGATGGAAGGAAACAAGACTAACCTTGTTATAACAATATATAATAATTAGTCATAAGTTATTACCTCTTTCTTTCTCCCTCCTATTTATATATACGGAAGAGAGAAAGAAGGAATCTGTTAAAAACGATCTGAAAAATCTGAAAGTAATATTTTCCGAAACTTTTTCATGATGAAAATAAGAACGGAAGAGCCTACTTAATGGAAATAAACATACTTGTGGTGAAGTGTTGAAGTGTGGAATTTTTATTTTAACTTTTTAGATTTTTATATTAGAACTATTCTATAGTATTGTAAAAAAGTATTGGAAGATTTTTGAAGTTTTTTTGTAAATTTAACACCAGTCGTTGCCGTAAATCACGACAAGTAACTCACTTTAAAGAGGATAGAGTTCCTGAGTTATGACTTGTTGTCTATACAAAACAAATGACGATATTCAAATGGAGGAATTAAAAAATGATTAGTAAAGAATGATTTCTTATCAGATGTTTGAAAGGCATTATCATCAACGGATGGAAGATTGCAAAATGTGATTAAGTAAAGCATTTCGCATCAATAGAAAATTCTTTAGAAAACGATATTCTCTTATTTTCCCAGTGAAAATCGGCAAACATTGCACATTATCAGATGCTTGATAAATAGAAGTAATCTTGAATTAGCTTAAAAAACAGAAGTAACCTTGAATTAACTTGTGAGAAGATAATGTAAGAGACAGAAAACCAAGAACTTATGTATTCCAAAGCCTTGTACTGAATATTTCGACAATTACCAAAATTCTTCCGACCATCTGTGTATTGATAATAGCTAATACAAATAGCATAGACGGATTCCTAAACGAAGTAAAGTATTATCAAGTAAAAGAAAGATCAATGAATTCATAAATTCTTTCTCCCGATTCATTCATCGCTCTCTTCCTTTTAAAATCATACCTAAACCAATAGATGCTCATAGGATGATTCTCCGAGGAAATCTCTTCCTTCTTCTGCAAGTTTTGAAAATTCAACACTTCCTTTTCTTTTCAATTTTCTCTTTTGCCAAATAAGCAAATTTTTCAAGTCACCCTCTCTTGCAGACAGAATTGTTGCAATTTCTCGGTACTTCATTTTTCCATAACAAGAAAAAAAGCGCTGTTTTATTTTTTTCCCTTTCCTATTAAGTAAATTTGGAGCTGTATTTATTAGTTAATTCGATATTCAATTTCTTTTTCCGTTTCTTCTCCTTCGTCGTCCGCGGAAATGCAGAATTTATGAAGAGAAAGAATTGTTGCTTTTTGGCTTTATAATTTAGATTTTCAAGGTTAACACAAATAGCGCAATTTTTTACCTTTCAAATTACAAGAATAAATTTCAGCGGTTAAAAATACCGTAATCACTTCCTGAAAAAAAAATGAAATAACCGTATGGGTTAGTAGCGCATGATTTTCAGTGATATGTAATCAGTTACACCATTATTGAAGAATTCATCAAACTACAAAGTCAAATGGCGATTTTACTGACATAGGCGCGAAAATTATAACCGATTTTTTTGAAGTTACAAATATTTAAAGATTAAAAACATTTCCATTGCATTTAATTGCGAAAAAGATAATTACTTTTTGATATGACAACTGTTTAACTTATTTTTTTCTCCAACTGATCATTTTTCGTCATTTTCAACAGCTGGTTAGTACTTTTATCCTGAATTTTTAATATGTTCCATATTTTTGGCATAAAAATAATTCAGCTAAAAGAATCTGTCCTCATTACTTAAAATTTTCATTGTAAATCCTAAAAGATGTATTAAACATCGTACCATAATATTTCGAATTTCGTTTCTCTTTCTGGTGATACAAGATATAAAGAAACTTTTCTTATTTATGTCCAAGTTGTAAAAAGTTTTAAAGTTGTTTCTTGGGCCATATGAGAACCAACCTTCACTGTTCTTCATTGAATATCTGACAGAGTTACAGCAATAGCTGCATTTTTTTGCCATAATCTACTATTTACTCTTAAATAGCCAAAAATGAATATATAAATATATGAAATTATAACCGCTAAGTAGGGCTTGCAGCTTAACCTATTTCCATTTCATTTCAGGTTCCGGTCTGATTTATGTTTTAAATTCAACTTATATCAACAATGCTGTCTAAAATAATGAATAATAATAATAGATTATTACTATTAATATTAATATTAATATTTTATAATAATAATAATTATAATAATAGTAATTATTATTAT